TAAGCAACAAAATAATGTGAGCAAATTAATGTTGTCCAGGGAAAGTTTTCATATGTTTGTCCATTAATGAGTAAGTATGTGTTTTAATCATTCTCTACTTTTCTTCTGTGTAACTTTTTGTACTACCAATACTAAATCCTGCAGGCACTATGGATTACTTAAGAAAGATGCCATTTAAAAATAATTAATTAATTAATTAATTAAAAAGAAAGATGCCTTTTTAAAATTTAAATGTTTTTAGTACTTGATGACACTCAGCTTTCTGCACAATCATCTGATAATTCTGGGCATTCCTTCAACCATTATTCCTGGTTATCTTCTCATTCTTGCATTAAAATCTTTCTTATTTATTTACTTATTTATTTAGTGAAAGAGCTTCTGAGAGCAATTGTAGTTATCAGTAAAACTAACTTTTTGCTTTCTGACAATGAAGTAAACCTATCAGACTTGTTGTGAAAGGGAGAACAAAGAAGTTGTCCCAAATATTTCCTTAGGGTCTGGTGTGATGGCTCTGTGGCTAAATCTTCATCTTGTATGCCCGGGATCCCATATGGGCACCAGTCCGTGTCCTGGCTGTTCTACTCCCCATCTAGCTCCTTGCTTGTGGCCTGGGAAAGCAGTAGAGAATGACTTGAAAGCTTGGGACCCTATGCCCACATGGGAGACCTAGAAGAAGCTCCTGGCATGTGGTTTCAGAACAGCTCAGCTCCGGGCATTGCGGCCACTTGGGGAGTGAACCCACAGAGGGAAGATCTTTCTGTCTCTCTTTTCTGTAAATTTGCCTTTCCAATAAAAATAAATAGATATTAAAAAGAAAATCAAATATTTCCTCAATGAATTTTCTACCTCAGAAATTATGTCACAGCCTTGAACCCTTTTCTCAATGGTTGCCTGTCCTTTGTGGAAGGCATTAAAGTCAGTATGTGATTGTTTCTGGCCCCTCGTTTTTCTTCCCTCCTCTTCACGTTGTTTCCCCTGTCTGTATGCACTCAGATCCTTAATGAGTGTTATTACACTGATATCTAAAAGTGAATTGAAAAGATATGAACTGTTAGAAGCTTCAGAGATTTCCTTTTGTAATTCTCTTAAGTCTTTTTTTGAGGCTTCTGTTATTTGTTTGGCTCTCAGTATGGAGGAGTAAAATAGCAACTGAAACTTGGCCCAACTTGATGTTTTTAAAGATTGATTTATTTTCATTGGAAAGGCAGATTTCATAGAGAGGAGAAACAGAAAGATCTTCCATCCTCTGTTTGACTCCCCAAATGGCCACAAAGACCAGAACTAAGCTGATCCAAAACCAGGAGCCTGAAGCCAGGTGCCAGGAGTTTCTTCTGGGTCTCCCACACAGGCACAGTGCCTCAAGGCTTTTGGCCATCATCCACTGCCTTCTCAGGCCATAAGCAGGGAGCTGAATGGAAAGTGGAGAAGCAGTGAAACAATATAAGATGCCACTGCTTATAGGTAGAAGATTAGACAGTTGAGCCATTGTGTGCTTGCTCCCTCCTCCCCCCTTTTTAAAAGGATTTAATTTGATTGAAATCTCTCATTCACTAGTTCATTCCCCAAAGTCATGTAGCAACTGGGGTTGGGCCAGGCCAAATTTGGAAGCCAAGAACTTAATCTGAGTCTCGCAGGTGTGGGGCAGGGACACAAGTACTTGCCATCACACACTTCTTTCCAGTGTGCCCATTAGCAGGAAGCTGGAATTGGAAACAATCAAGCACTCTGATTTAGGATGCAGGAGGTCTTAGCAGCCTCTTGACGACTCATGCAAACACCTACCCCCAACATTAGCTTTTCTCTATTCCTGTTCCTTAGTTTCCCCTTTGGCAACGGTCTTCTGACAGTCCATGCCACTGTGAGCTTGTTCTATGAGAAAGAGGGCAAAATGCGTCCTGTCCTGATGTTTATTCTCTCCTGGCATGTTTATCCCAGTGAATACTAGAATATGAAAATCCTATAAAGCCAACTAGGTTATTAGCTCGATATCACAGAACTGCTTATTATGCACTATGACTTAATGTAGATTATAGATGAGACCAAATGATAATTAGTAGAGCTGGTGCTGTAATTAAACATTCTTGTCCTGCTCTTTGATCCCTCCCTAGATTTCTGTTGCAAAGTGGAAGGAAACTGAATACTTCCAAACCAAAGGTGGATTTCTTCACTTCTCTCTGTCTCCAAACACCTCTTTTAATTAATTAAGTAATGAGATAAAGTTATCCTCAAACCAACAGAAATTCTGGCCTCTACTTAGTATTCCTCTGGTCTATAAGGGTAGTTTGATGAATATACATTTATCATTAAATTCCTCATGTAATCAGTCATTTCTGTTATTCGTGCTCAATTTGGCTGATGTTTCTTCCTTTCTACCTTTATGGGTACCAGTTCAAGTCCCAGCTGCTCCACTTCTGATTCTGTTCCCTGCTAATGACTGGGAAAGCAGCGGAGATTGGCCCAAGTGTTTGGGCCGTTACACCCTAGCCCCTGGCTTCAGCCTGACCCAGTCTCAGCCATAGCAGCCATTTGGGGAGTGAACCAGCAAATGGAAGATCTCTTTTTTTCTGTGTCTTTCTGATTTTCAAATAAAAATGGATAAATTTTAAAAAGGGTTTATTTACATGAAAGGAAGAGTGACAAAAAAGAGAGTCAGATCTTTCTGCTGGTTCATTCTACAAAAGCCTGCAAGAGCTAGGGTTGAGTCAGGTGACATCCAAGAACACAGAACTTAATATGGTATCCATATGTGTGGCACAAACTCTGGTCTTTGACCTGTCACCTTTGCTTCCCAGAGTGCACACTAGCAGGAAACTGGAGTCAGGAATAGAACCCAGACTGTGGGTATCCCAAGCAGCCTTCTAACCATTGCACAAACATCTGCCCTCTTATATAACATTCCTGAAGAGCCTGAGGATTAGAGCGAGATTCTAGCACTACAGAGTAGTAGGAGTAAGGTTCCAGTTTACTTTCTCTGTATTGTTTCTTACCTTTAGATCCAGTTATAGACATTTTAAAGGGCCTTTCCAGGACCTACCTCACTGCAAGGATTAATTGTTGAATTGAATTGTAAATGCCTAATTTTCATAACACCAAAACATTTTCTTTGTCATTAACCATAAATGTAGAAGTCCCAGTACACAAATTTCCATTTCATTTGATGAAAAAATTATTAGGGAAGTGCAGAGTGAATGAGTGAGGATGTTTTACCTACTCTTAATCAACCCAGTGTGTGAGTATCCTGTGATCTGTGACAGTGATGATCTGCAAATAGCGGTGTCTTTCTAAGCCAAGAAGTCAGAGCCAACTGCAGAGATGCACTATCCAGACTTTGGCTTCTGGACTACTTTTCAAGGCCAGAATGACTGAGTGTGTGTGTGTGTGTGTGTGTGTGTGTGTGTGTGTGTGTGTTTGTCTTTTGGAGGGAGGAAGATGGATTGTAGATAGAGTTGTGGTCATGCAGTAAATTATCCCAAAACCACAGTTGTATTGCAGAACTGTCCAGCAGCTTAGAGTAGGAAGGTATGATTGTCTTTCTGAATGTCTCTATTCAAGGACTATTTTTCAGCTGGGCTGAAAAGTCTTTTACAAGGAGAAACAGCTACTAATTCATGACTCTCATTTCTGTATCTGCTAATCAGTGTCATAATCTTTTGAGGAAATTGGTTAGTGTGTATCTTAACTGCCTTTGTATATGCTCAATTAGGATTTGGGCACTATAAGTTTGTTCAATAGTTGGCACTTTGTCAACTTGATAAATCCTAATTTAATGAGTTGCTATCATAAGTCTATATTATGAGTTTTATATTACCTCTAGGTTCTTCTTGGAATTTAAGTAGTTACACTGTTCACAGGAGCTAAGTTAGAGGTAGATGACTGGTGTTTGACTTTCTGTATATGTGTGCATAATCTTAAATCTTCAGAATATTGTGGGTTGTTGCGAATTGGCTTTTCTGTTATAGATAACTTGATATTAGGGTCATACTAACATTCTGTTTTTGTTAAGTCTGTCCTACTCACTTTTAAAATCTGAATGTTAGAAACCCCCGACAAGCTATTTCCAGATGATGTTTAACTAGCTTTTAAGTAAATTTCTTTCTAGCTAAAGAGTTATTGAAGCTCCTAGGGATGAGTCTTTGGAATTGTGGTATTTCTAAACCTAAATATTTCTCCCTCTGTATCCCACATATTTTCATGGATTTTTATCCTGACTAATGTACCATTCCTTGAATGTTAAATTGGTAAGAAACACGGTGGTGGTCGTAGGACATGCCTTAGAAGCTAAGCCTTTTTGTTAGTAATAATTAGGGGAGAAAAAAAAAAGATTTATTTGGGACCCTACTGTGAATGGGTTGAGCTAGTGCCTGCAATGTCAGGTGAGGAAAGATCTTCCACATCGGTGTTCCCACCTTTTTTAAAAAAAAAATATTTTTATTGCAAAATCAGGTATACAGAGAAGAGGAGAAACAGAGAGGAAGTTCCGTACGATGGTTCACTCCCCAAGTGACCGCAACGGCTGGTGCTGAGCCAATCCGAAGCCAGGAGCCAGGAAATTCTTCCAGGCCTCCCGTGCGGGTGCAGGGTCCCTAGCCTTGGGCCGTCCTCAACTGCTTTCCCAGGCCACAAGGAGGGAGCTGATGGGAAGTGGGGCTGTCGGGATTAGAACCGGCGCCCATATGGCATTCCGGTGCATTCAAGGCAAGGACTTTAGCCAATAGGCCACTGTGCTGGGCCCATGTATTCCCATCTTAAATGTCTTGTCAGTCTATGTTCTATTACTAATGAAATCTGGCTCTGATTTGCAACTTCTCCTATCATAGGGTGCTCTCAATGAAACCACTAGATCTGTAGCAGGATCATGAGCTAGAACTTGAAAGACAAAGGTCTTATATTTAGATTTCTTGGTACTCCGACAGGAAGGAATATAAAATTTAAATACGGAAAAAGTATTTCCTCTAAATGTTCTTCCTGCAACTTAGCTACTTCTTTCCGTTCCCTCACAGATGGAGTCCCCTGTCTCCACACCAGCGGTGCTACCACTCCACCTTTTGGTGCCAGTTGTCAATAATGACATATCATCTCCCTGTGAGCAGATCATGGTTCGTACCCGATCAGTTGGAGTCAATACATGTGATGTGGCTCTAGCCACAGAGCCCGAGTGCTTGGGCCCCTGCGAACCTGGAACCAGTGTCAACCTTGAAGGCATAGTGTGGCAAGAAACGGAAGATGGTAAGTACTTTGTATGGCTTTCCATTCCTTTTCAACCTGCTTGTGCTGAGTAACTGAAAGGAGCTTACTGTTGTAAATACTGCCAAGTATTTGTGAAGCATCTCAGGGATTTACAAGCTGATGGGGATACCCACACAGCAGACAACAGCAAAACCTTCTAGAGGTTACCAATGCCAGGGTTTTTTTAGGTTCATTTTCTCCCATTTATAATTATTTAACATTGTTGCTTCTAATTTGAGTCATTTAATAGGCACTATCCAGATTAATTCCAACTGTGTCCACATTCTCCATATTTCTGCTCTCATTTTTTAATGGGAAACTTAGACTATAGATAAAATGTGGGTACATGGTCAAAAAATTTAAAAAAAGGTAGCTAAGGGAACCGAGGAAATGGAGAACAGAAACCTTTTTTTTTTAGTTTGGAAAGGAATAATAGTTTTCGGATGAGTGTCAGCTATTGCCATTTTACTGTTTTGTTTTTTTTTAAGATTGATTTTATTTTTATTGGGAAATCAAATATACAGAGAGGAGCAGAGACAGAGAGGAAGTTCTTCCACCCGTTGATTCACTCCACTAGCAGCTGCAACGGCCAAAGCTGAGCCTATCAGAAGCCAGGAGCCAGGAGCTTCTTCCAGGTCTCCCATGTGGGTGCAGGATCTCAAGGCCTTAGGTCATCCTCAGCTGCTTTCTCAGGCCACAAGGAGGGAGCTGGATGGGAAGCGGGGCTGCCAGGATAAGAACTGGTACCCATATGGGATCCTGGTGCGTGCAAGGCAAGGACTTTAACCGCTAGGCTACTGAGCCGGGCCTGAGAACACTCTTAAATTGACTTCATGTTGGCTCATTATGCTGCTCTTGCCTTTTCTAACACCTGGAAGGGTAGCCTGCTCCTTCCTCCCACTGCTTGCCGCATTGCCCAGCCACCTACACCACTTCATGCATCTGTCACTTGGTACAGATTTTATAGGCCTAGTCAACACGGAAATGTTTGCATGGTCTTGTTTTCAGGCATCCACTGAGCAGCTGGCTCACTGTAGGCTGCTGCTGCCCAAGGCTAACATCCAAACTTCTTGCATATTCTGTTTGCCTCTAAAAGCAGAATCTCTTCTGTTTTAAAAATTAATAAACATGGAGAGGGGGAAAAAAAGGCACAGAATTTAAGTACAGAGATTCTTTACCAGATATTTCAGATCCCTTGGTGATATCTGGCAATAATGTGATTTTAACCATTCAGTCCAGGTTGGGTGTTTAGCCTGGCAGTGAAGGTGCCTGTGTCTCACATCAGAGTGCTTGGGTTTTTTTTTTTAAAGATTTATTTTTATTATTTTTTCATTGGAAAGGCAGATATATAGAGAGGAGAGACAAAGAAAAAGATCTTCCGTCCGATGATTCACTCCCCAAGTGAGCGCAACGGGCCGATACTATGCCGATCCGAAGCCAGGAGCTTCTTCCGGGTCTTCCACGCGGGTGCAGGTTCCCAAAGCTTTGGGCCGTCCTCGACCACTTTCCCAGGCCACAGGCAGGGAGCTGGAAGGGAAGCGGGGCTGCCGGGATTAGAACCGGCACCCATATGGGATCCCGGGCGTGCAAGGCGAGGACCTTTAACCACTTGCACCACTGCACTGGGCCTGAGTGCTTGGGTTTTATACCCAGTTCTGGCTCCTGGCTCCTTCTTCCTAGGACTGCAGACTGTAAGAGGCAGCATTGAGGTCTCAAATAGACCTGTCACTACCACCCACTGGAAGGCCTGGCTTAGTTCCCAGCTTTAGCTCTGCCCATTGTAGGCATCCAAGGACTAAGCCAACAATAGGAAACCTCTTTTTCTTTCTCTCTCTCAAAAGACAGGTTTTTAAAAAGGAATCATCCAAGTTCTTATCATATGCATAGATTATGTTATGGTTAGAAAGGCTGAGCCTCAGTCTCTTCGTGTGTCTTTATCATAATCAGACTGTTAAAGCATGCTCAGCCAGGATTTTAGAGGTCTAGAGGGGCACAGCTAATCATCTCTGACATCACAAAGCTGTGTTGTCAGTTGGCCTGTGGACAATGAGGCATTTCATCCTTGTACCCTAATACAAGTCTGTTTCCCTATGTGTACGTATATGTATATCTCTATATAGGTAATAGTTATGTTCATGATTTAAATTCCACCATGCAGTAGGTGCTGATATGTGACAAGTTAAGAACCCTGTGTTCTTGGCTGTCACATTGGGAAGATAGTAACTCTTCACCTTTTGAAGTGATGCTGCTGAGAAGATTTTATTGTATACCTGAGACCATAATACAGGCAAAGAAATTATGTTAGAAACTGATGTCACTAACGTAGCAAGAAATTTTGATTCAAACGGTTGAGTCAAGGACAGTGTAGTGTTGCATCAAGTTGAACCACCTCTCACCACTCTGGACACGTGTTCATGTCTCAGCTGCTCCATTCCCAATCCTAACTTCTTGGAAGGCAGCAGATGATTCTCTATGTAGGAGAATCAACTGGATCTCCTGCCTTCTGGCTTTGACCTAGACTACCCTTGACTGTTGTAGCCATTTGAGGAATAAAGCAACAGATAGAAGATTTCTTGCTCCCTGTTTCTCCTTTCTCTGTCACTCTGCATTTTAAATAAATGAATGAATAAATCTGTTTTAAAAAGAAATTTAGTGGGTATGTAATATGAGAGTGCTTCAAAAAGTTCAAGGAGGGCCCAGCACAGTAGCCTTGTGGCTTGCTTAGGGCCTGGGAAAGCATTGACGTGGGACACCTGGAAGAGGCTCCTGGCTTCTGGCTTTGGATTGGATCTGCCCTGCTCATTGCGGCCACTTAGGGAGTGAATCAGCAGACAGAAGATCTTTCTGTCTTTCCTCCTCTCTGTATATCTGATTTTCCAATTAAAATTTTTTTCAAGGAAAATGGCATTAAAAGATGTTTATTTTTCTATAAGAAATTTTTAAATCCATGTAGTTTTTTCCCTCTTAATATTTGTGTGCCATAAACATTTTGAAGATCTCTTGTGCAATACGAAAATCACAGAATGGTTATCTGAGTTTTAAAATCTCAGGGCAGGGGCCTGGCATGATAGCCTAGTGGCTAAAATCCTTGCCTTACATGCGCCAGTATCCCATATGGGTGCCAGCTCATATCCCAGTTGCTCCACTTCCCTTCCAGCTCCATGCTTGTGGCTTGGGAAAGCAGTTGAGGATGGCCCAAAACCTGGGACCCCACACCTGCATGGGAGATCTAGAAGAGGCTCCTGGCTCCTGGCTTCAGATTGACACAGCTGTGCCATTGTGGCCGCTTAGGAAGTAAACCTGCAGATGGAAGGTCTTTCTCTTTGTTTCTCTTCTCTCTGTAAATGTGACTTCAAAAAAATCAATAAATCTTTAAAAATATATATCAGGGCAAGTGTTTGTCACATGGTTAAAACATCACTTTGGATGGCCATATTCCATATTAAAGTAGATTAGCTTCCCAGTTCTATTCCCTATTCCAGGGTCGGATTAATGTATTCTCTAGAACATTGGAGGTGATGATTCAAATTTGCTTCCTGCCACTCACATGAGATACCTGAGTAGCATTCCCTGCTCCTTGGTTCGGCCTCCCCCAAATTCAGCTATTACGGGCTCTTGAGGAATAAAGCAGCAGATGGGAGTCTCTTTCTCTGTCCTCCTCCTTGCCTACCTACCTATAAAATGTAGATTAATTCTTTGTATGTTGAGGCAGAAGTTTGATGTAACAATTGAGATGCCACTTGAGATGCCTGCATCCCATGTTAGAGTGTGTGGTTTCAAGTCCATCTCTGCTTTCAATTCCAGCTTCTTGCTAATGCATGCCTGGGAGGCAGCAGGTGATGTGTGATACACTTGGGCCCCTGCTTCCTACCTAAGAGACCCACATTAAACTTCAGGTTTTTGGCTTCAGCCGAACCCAGCCTCAATTGTGCTGGAATATAGGAATAGAATCAACAGGTGGAAGATTTTTCTGTGTCGCTGTTTCTGTCTCTCTGACTTTCAAATAAAATCAAAGTTAGTAAAGAAATAAAAAATATTTTTAAATGTCATCTGCCTATGGCCAAGCATTTAAACAGCTACAGATTTTGCAAGAATGACAAAATATCTGGGCCCCATTTCTACCACCAAGCAATCCTCGGGGCCCTTGGTGTCACCATACTGAAGACAGAGTGCACCAGTTTCCTGTCAGTCCATTCTGTTCATCTTGGCAATGCTGACTTTTCTCCCAAAACGAGTTTCAATTATATGAACCTGACAAAAACGTCTCAGCAGTGAGGCTCACCCTTAAGTTTCCGAAGGACAGCGAATACCTAATTTCCTTTCCTGCCAAGAGCATGTTAACACAAATTCATTTTACTTATTTGTTTATTTTGGCAAATCATTTGTTTGAAAGGCTCTTTGGTCCTCGGTTTGTCATTGGCAGTCCAATACCAATTTCCCATATTATGCACTCTTCACATACACTATTTCACAGCATTTACTATAGATTGTAATTTTGTTTATGATTGTATGATTTTTTTCTTATTGATATCTTTCTCTTCCACTGTTCTAAGAAGCCCTATAAACTAGGAACTGTTTTGTTCACTATTATATCTTTAGCGTTTATCACCTAGCCCCTATGGTAGGTTCTCAGAAAGAATGTTTATTTGTTTATTTTTATTGGAAAGGATGATCAGATTTACAGAGAGAAGCAGAGACAGAGAGAATGATGTTCATCCACTGTTTCACTCCCCACATGGCCACAATGGCTGGAACTGAACTGAGCCAATCCAAAGCCAGGAGCCAGGAGCTTCTTCCAGGTCTCCCACACTGATGCAGGGTCCCAAGGCTTTGGGCTGCCCTCTGCCACTTTCTCAGGCCGTAAGCAGGGAGCTGAATGGAAGGTGGATTGGCCGGGACATGAACTTGTACCCATATGGGATCCTGGTGCTTGCAAGGTGAAGATTTTGCCAAGATTTTGCACCAGGCCAAAATATGTTTAAATAAATGAATACTCATAT